TGGCCGCAGACCTGGTCAGTTCGACCCATTCTCTTCGCCAGCGCCGGAGACCGAATACTGAACGTCCAAGAACCACTTCCATGTCTGGACGGACTGAGTCGAGCCAGGTTTTGAGTTGACCCCCTCTTCGACGTTTCGAATTAGGCAACAGTTTCAAGTCGAGGGCAGTAGCACTGAGCTCTTGGTTTTGGCGACGAAGAACGTGTCCAAACCACGTCAGCCGTCTTTTCTGAATGGCCTGGGATATCCTTATGATTTTGTCACAGCGAGTGCGAACTGTCTCATTTGAGACGAAGTCAGTGTACTTCACTCGAAGGGTGTTCCTCAGACAGTAGTGGTCGAAGACTTCCAGTTTCTGTTCATCCTTCCAGGCGCATAGCCCAACATTCGCATCCGTATAGGAGACGGACCGCACAGATGCACGGTACACGCGGATCTTTGTTGAGAGGGAAATATCCGTCTGCACCATACTCTCTCATTGTTGTTTCCACTGTCATCTAACGCAGGCTATAGCTCATTGCAGTTAATTTCACAGCCAGCACCACCACCCGTACTTTGTCTATGGTGCTAATATTCAGACAAATTCAGAAGTTTTCCTGGACCAGTGTACTCTCGCGCGTCCTTTAAAGCTCAGTACTCACGTTGACCGCTGTGTTCTTCTTCTTCTTCTTCTTCTTCTTTGATAAAGGTTGTGTTACAGACACAATCGGTGCTATATTCCCTTTAACAGTCTGTGGATTCATAGAAATTGTCCAAACCGCTCCCAGTAGGCTCTTAAACCTTCTTGGTAGACTTTTCATCACGGCTCACGGTGTACATTTTTAAAGGCCAGATTTGCACCCCCCCCCTAACCGATTGTTATTCAATGTGTAAGAACCACCTGCCTTTCCAGTCTAAAGGACTGACGGAAGGCAGGATAGAGGGAGAGCTCCGGCGCGGGGTTTTTTGTTTTGGCTCCCATGATACATGCTTTCGGGCTTCGCCCTAACACCGTTTCCTCCTTCCACTCTACAGTTGGCTCAGTTTCTTGAACGCACCAAACTGGAAGAACAGGTGGCGACTGAACAGGCCGCCCTCCTGTTCGATCAACACCAACAGCTGCGGGACTTTGAACTGAAGAACCAAAGCACCAAACACCAACTGCAGCGCAGCCACCTAGAGGAGAAGCGTACTTTCCTCTGCGAGGAGCAGATGCGCTACGACGAGGGCCAGAAGGTGAAATTTGAGAAGGAGAAACGCATCAGACTAAAACAGCTGGAGAAGGAACTGAAGGTGGGTTTTGAATTAACAGTGCTTTCTCCGAACTCCATAGGTCTGTGTAGTTAGTTATTATTAGTGCGTGCGGTCGAATGTGTTGAAGACGT